CCGAGCCGCTCCCCCCCCCCAAGTCCCAACCTCCTCGGCCCCCTCCCCATCCCCACCGCCCCCGCTGAGATGTTATTTAAAATTTTGTTCGCTCAGCGAATCTTGTTTTACGATGTTCCGCCGATATGGAGCCCGGGTAAATAATACGAAACCACAGGGAGGGGTCCCTCTTGCCCCCCCCCGTCCCCCGCCCCTTCATTCGTCCCCCACCCCCTCCCCTCTTCAGCAACATCCATTTATCTGTCTCCAGCAACGTTGTGAAATTCCCCGCCGCCAAAGGCCCAACGTTAAGTTTGGAAAACACACCCGCAGACAAAGATCCCCCGTATAGCCTTAACAGACTGTAGGGGCAAGTGTTGTTAGCGAGCACCTATGAAGGCCGGCACGGCACACGAGGGGGTGGGTGGCCAGCACCACGCCCGACCGCCTTTATCTCGCCAGTGGCGATGTGTTTACACACCGCACCAGGTACTCATTTGAGGATGAGTTGACCTAGGGGAGGCCCATGACCGGTTCAGATAATCGTCACCTGGTGTTGGCCGTGAGCGAGAATCGAACTCGGGTCGCCGGGTTCGTAGCGCAGCGTCGCGCTAACCGCTACGCCACCGCTCGCAACAGCAGACACACACAGACGCGCACACAGAGACACAGATGCACACAGACGCACACACAGACGCACGCACAGAGACACACAGACGCACACAGACGCACACACAGACGCGCGCACAGACACACACAGATGCACACACAGAGACACAGACGCACACAGACGCACGCACAGAGACACACAGACGCACACAGAGACACATAGACGCACGCACAGAGACACACAGACGCACACAGACGCACACACAGACGCACACAGAGACACACAGACGCACGCACAGAGACACACAGACGCACACAGAGACACACAGACGCACACAGACGCACACACAGACGCGCGCACAGACACACACAGACGCACACACAGAGACAGACGCACACAGACGCACGCACAGAGACACACAGACGCATGCACAGAGACACACAGACGCACGCACATAGACACACAGACGCACACAGACGCACGCACAGAGACACACAGACGCACACAGACGCACGCACAGAGACACACAGACGCACGCACAGAGACACAGACACACACAGACGCACGCAGACGTACGCAGACGCACGCAGACGCACACAGAGACACACAGACGCACACAGACGCATCCCGTCTGTGCTGCCGGGGTCACAGTTGCCGTGCGTTCAGAGAAGTCGATGCTATGGGGGAGCTCTCGGCAGAAAGCAGTGCACCACTTTGCGTGGGGAGGACGCTCTCAGGAACAAGGTACCGTCACAGAACGGCGTCTGAGGTCTCTCAGTTGTCCGCTTCGCACCTCCCCCCCCCACGTGCCCTGCCTGTAGAGGCGGGATCCGGTCGCGTCAAACTCAAAATAAAGTTTTGTTTTGCAACTCTCAGAGCTGCCATTTGCCGAGTTTAATAACGCCCCACGAGACGAGCGGCTTCACCGCGCTCGGGAATCCGCGTTGAGACAGCGGCACGACACCAGCCCCGCGCTGCACTCCCGGCCCCACGGTGCCCTCCCTGACCCCGCGCTGCGCCCCCTGACCCACGGTGCGCTCCTGGCCCCGCGCTGCGCTCCCTGGCCCGCGCTGCGCTCCCTGGCCCGCGCTGCACGAGGTCTGGGGAGAGGCGCCTCCCCAGACCTCGTCCCGCGCGTTGGGTCGCAGAGTCGCGCTCCACGTGCGAGGGGGGGGGACGTCTCATGGCACGCGACGGGCTCGGATTGAAAACGTTCCCTCCGCTCCGTCGCTGCTTATTATCAACTTGGCTCTTCCGAAAGCACTCCCGTGTCACTCTGTGTGTGCGCGCGTGTTAATATTTAGCACGATGTGTGCATCTGATGGCCTCAAGGTGCACCTAGCCTGACACAGGAGTTGCGGTGGCGTCACTCTGTGACGAGTGGCGGCTGTTGTGTTCCTGGGGGTGTGTTTGTGTGCGCATCTCTGCGTGTATATGCGTCTGTATCTTCGGCCATGCCCGAATGGCCGTGTGTCTGTAGCTCTGCGGGTATCTCGTATCGCTGGATGTGTGCGGTCACGCCTCGCCCAAATATACTCGAGAGACACGCGAGACACTTTCCCTCCCCTCCCTCCCCTCGCCCTCCCACCCCCACCCCTCCACTCGCCCTCTCACCCCCACCCCTCCCCTCTCACCCCCACCCCTCCCCTCGCCCTCTCACCCCCACCCCTCCCCTCGCCCTCTCACCCCCACCCCTCCCCTCGCCTCGCTGCTACCCGTGGCTGTGGGGTTGACACGAGCGGTGGCTGAACTTGTGAGGGTTGCAACAGCTGCTGCTGCTGCTGTCAGCCAGGAGAGCCGAGCGTGGTCGCCGCGTCGCTACCGAAGGCGCAGGCGGTGCAACTGCGACAGGGCGCGTTGCCCAGAGGAGCCCCCAGGCTACAGAGAGGTGGGGGGGACATAGCGAACTGGTGAGGGGGGAGGGGACATTTCATTCCCAGCACCAACAATTATATTCCATGACCACGCTGCGCTCCATCACCGCGCACAGCAGACAGGTGAGCTGCAGGTAAAGCCACAAGTGAGATACAGGTGAGCCGCAGATGAGACAGACGAGGCACAGGTGAGCTGTAGATGCGAGCCGGAGGTGAGAGGCGAGACGCGGGCGAGAGAGAGAGAGGCGAGAGGCAGCTGCCTTGCCGCGTCTCTAAAGTGGGCTCGGGGTTTTACCCCGGTGTTGGAAAATAGCGGCAGAGTCACATTTCATCACCACTTGTGTCACACACACACGCACAGACACGTGCGCACACACACATCCATACAACCGCCATTCGCCACTAAGTGGCGGTGACGTCACCACGGCGCGAGTGCCAGACTAGGTGCACTTTGAGGTCACGTGAAGTGTTTGAAGGTTCGCTGGCAAGAAGGCACGGGACGGTTGACTGAGATGACTGGCACATGCACCACCTGTGCTCGCTACTGTGCCACCTCGCTGCGTTGTATCCGCACGGCGCTGTGTGAGTATATGGGTCTTTGTGTAAGTATATGGGTCTCTGTGTGAGCATATGGGTCTCTGTGTGAGTATATGGGTCTCTGTGTGAGTATGTGGGTCTCTGTGTGAGTCTATGGGTCTCTGTGTGAGTATATGGGTCTCTGTGTGAGTATATGGGTCTCTGTGTGAGTATATGGGTCTCTGTGTGAGTATATGGGTCTCTGTGTGAGTATATGGGTCTCTGTGTGAGTCTATGGGTCTCTGTGTGAGTATATGGGTCTCTGTGAGTATATGGGTCTCTGGGTGAGTCTATGGGTCTCTGTGTGAGTCTATGGGTCTGCGTGAGTCTATGGGTCTCTTTGTGAGTCTATGGATCTGCGTGAGTCTATGGGTCTCTGTGTGAGTCTATGGGTCTCTGTGTGAGTATATGGGTCTCTGTGTGAGTCTATGGGTCTCTGTGTGAGTCTATGGGTCTCTGTGTGAGTCTACGGGTCTCTGTGCGAGTCTATGGGTCTCTGTGTGAGTCTATGGGTCTCTGTGTGAGTCTATGGGTCTCTGTGTAAGTATATGGGTCTCTGTGTGAGTCTATGGGTCTCTGTGTAAGTATATGGGTCTTTGTGTGAGTATATGGGTCTGCGTGAGTCTATGGGTCTCTGTGAGTATATGGGTCTCTGTGTGAGTCTATGGGTCTCTGTGTAAGTATATGGGTCTCTGTGTGAGCCTATGGGTCTCTGTGAGTCTATGGGTCTTTGTGTGAGTATATGGGTCTCTGTGTGAGTCTATTGGTCTCTGTGAGTCTATGTGTCTCTGGGTGAGTCTATGGGTCTCTGTGTGAGTATATGGGTCTCTGTGTGAGTCTATGGGTCTCTGTGTGAGTCTATGGGTCTCTGTGTGAGTATATGGGTCTCTGTGTGAGTATATGGGTCTCTGTGTGAGTCTATGGATCTGCGTGAGTCTATGGGTCTCTGTGAGCATATGGGTCTCTGTGTGAGTCTATGGGTCTCTGTGTAAGTATATTGGTCTCTGTGTGAGCCTATGGGTCTCTGTGGGTCTATGGGTCTTTGTGTGAGTATATGGGTCTCTGTGTGAGTCTATGGGTCTCTGTGAGTCTATGGGTCTCTGGGTGAGTCTATGGGTCTATGTGTGAGTCTATGGGTCTCTGTGTGAGTCTATGGGTCTCTGTGTGAGCCTATGGGTCTCTGTAAGTCTATGGGTCTTTGTGTGAGTATATGGGTCTCTGTGTGAGTCTATGGGTCTCTGTGAGTCTACAGGTCTCTGTGTGAGTCTACGGGTCTTTGTGTGAGTCTATGGGTCTCTGTGTGAGTCTATGGGTCTCTGTGTGAGTCTATGGGTTCCTATGCGAGGCATTAGACACCATCGACTCAATGCACCTGAGAATCCAGACAGTGGCTGACACCCAGATTCGAATCCAGGAGCTCAGCAGCGCCGGTTCAAGTGTCCCTGGACAGGGCCGTGATGAACCCCCCTGAGCCAGCGAGCCGGTCACCATATTTCACTCGCACACGCGGGCATTTATTTAAAGGCACCGCGACGGGGGCTCTGTGCCAATGACCCCCCACCACTGCCCCCCCCACCCACCCCCCACTGCCCCCCCACCCACCCCCCCACTGCCCCACCCCCACCCACCCCCACTGCCCCCCCACCCACGCACCACTGCGCATTCCCGGCTGAGCGTTCCCGCAGCGCTGCCCCGGTCCGCGCAAACATCAGCTAACGGGCTCGCGCTGTTGGGAGGGGGTGGTGGTGGTGGTGATGGTGGTGATGGCTGCACAGCATTTAGGGGGGGTGAGTGGGGTGGAGGAAGGAGGGTGAGTGGAGTGGAGGAGTCGGGTGCAGGGGGGTGAGTGGGGTGGAGGAGGGGGGGTAGAGAGGGGGTGGAGGAAGGGGGGTGAGTGGGGGTGAGTGGGGTGGAGGAGGGGGGGTAGAGAGGGGGTGGAGGAAGGGGGGTGAGTGGGGGTGGAGGGGGGGCGGTATAGAGGGTGGAGGCGCGTGGTTGGGTCTTGGCACACAGAGAGAGGAGCACGGACACCGGGAGATTGACGGCCGCGTTATTTGCGCAGGGGACGTCCGTCTGTCTCTCCCTGGCTCTCTGGCTCTCCCTGGCTCTCCCTGGCTCTCCCTGGCTCTCTCTGGCTCTATTTGGCTCTCCCTGGCTCTCTGGCTCTATCTGGCTCTCTCTGGCTCTATCTGGCTCTGTCTGGATCTCTGTCTTTCCCTGGTTCTCTCTGGCTCTATCTGGCTCTCTGTCTGTATCGATCTGGCTCTCTGGCTCTATCTGACTCTCTCTATCTGGCTCTCGCTCTCTGACACTATCTGACTGTCTCTGGCTCTCTGACACTATCTGACTCTCTCTCTCTGGCTCTCTCTCTCGCTCTGGCTCTTTCTGTCTCTCTGTCTCTATTTGGCTCTCTCTGGCTCTCTCTGGCTCTCTCTGTGTCGCTTCGGCCCTCTACGGTTCCCCACGCGGCACCGCTCCACCGCCGCTGTCGCAGCCGACGAGGAGTGTGAGGACGAGGAGGTGGAAGAGAGGAGGGGGCGAGTGGGAGGAGAGAGACAGCGGAGTCGGCCGAGCAAGAGGGCAGAACAGGAGGCGGAGAAGCGAGTGAGGAGTAGGGGGTGGAAGGGGTTTAGATGAGTGAGTGAAAGAGGACGTCGGAGGGGGGGACGAAACGAGGAGGAGGGGGAGAGGAGGTGGAGGCGATCACTGCGATCGGGATGATGAGCGATTGAGCCACTGTTCCAAACGGGGCCCAGATCCGCATCGTCGCGATTTTGAATCCGCCTCCCGGCAACTCCCTCGTGAGTCGCGACCGACCTCGTCACGACGAGGGCGATGGACGACACCGATGACGAGGTGCGAGACCTGACGGCCAGGTCCTTCCGGAGTCTCTCGTTCCCCTACGAGGCGCTCGAAGACAGCGGCTCCCTCAAGGACAGCACGCCCGCGCCGAGCAGGAACCACGACAACAACGACCGCCACGACAACAACAACCACAACAACCACCACGACCACAACAACCACCACGACAACAACAACAACAACCACGACAACAACCAACGCAGCAACTGCAACGAGCACGGCAAAGACGACGGTAAGCTCAACGATCGTAAAGACGACGACGACGACGAGTGGATACTCAACCGCTGGCCCACGTACGTGGACCTGGGTAGGACGAGCCGCGAAGTCCGACGTTCCACCGCCAATGGGGAGCAGGGGGAGGTGGGGGCAGGGGTGGGGGCTGCGGGGTGTCAGGGCACGGCTAAAGGTGCTTTGAGTGTCGCGGTGCAGCAGCAGCAGCAGGAGGAGGAGGCAGGAGCAGCGCCGAGAGTCGCTATTCCCATGACGCCAGGCGGCGAGGCTATAACGAGGGTGTCGGCATCGCGCGCGACACTCACCCAGCGCGCCGCGGCAATGAGCAGCGCGCCCAAGAGGGACGCGGTGCTGGAGACGCTGCTGCTGCAGCAGCTGCAGCAGCACCACCACAAGCACCAGCAGAAGCAGCAGCAGCTGCTGCAACAGCAACAGCAGCAACAGCAGCAACAGCAACAACAGCATGAACAACAGCAACAACAACAGCAGCAGCAACAACATCAACAGCAGCAGAAGCAGCAGCTGCAACAGCAACAACAGCAACAACAACATCATGAACAACAGCAACAACATCATGAACAACAGCAACATCAGCAACAACATCAACAGCAGCAGCAGCAGCAACAACATCAGCAGCAGCACGCAATCACATTTGGCACTGAGCGCAAAGTGACTTCATATATGTCGGGCATGCACGTGGAGGAGAGCGGAGAGGCCTGCTACTTGAAGCAGCTGTCACATCGGCAGCAACATCAGCAGATCTACCATCATCATGAGCAGCAGCAGCAACATAATTATCATCACCAGCAGCAGCAGCAGTATCAGCAGCAGCAGCAGCACATCTGGCGGCAGACTGAAGGTCAAGTCGAGTTGTCCACCCAGGGGATGTCCGGGCACGCCAAGCAGGCGTCGAGCATCCTCAAGAGCGTAATCTCCAAGAAGATGCAGCTGGAGCAGGAGCTGAAGATGGAGCGCGGGGAGGTGGTGGACACGAGCGTGACGAGCGAGTGCGGCGACCCGCGGGGCCGAGACGAAGCCGCCGCCGCCGCCGCCGGGAGCGCAGAGAGACACGGGCAGGGCCAGACGCGCGTGTCCGTCCACCCCGACGTGGCGCGGGGTGGCGACGGCGTCGACAAGCGGCAGAAGTCGGTGTCGCAGAAGATTTTCCTGCACAGCGAGAACAGCGCCTTCACGTCGTGGGGACAGCGGCGGCACGAGGCGGCCGCCGATCTGTGCGGCGCGGCGCGACGCGACTCCAGGCGGCAGACGATCCGGCTCGACTTCCCGCACGGAGGGGCCAGAATTGTCCAGGACGACGACGACGAGAAGAAGAAGATGATGATGCTGAAGATGAAGATGATGAAGCTGCCGCAGACGGAGCATGCGAAGCGCGGTTACAGCAGCAGCCTCTCGACCTCCGAAGGAGCCCGCAACGAGCCGAACGATGACGATGGTGCCGACGCCGACGACGACAGCTCGTGCTACCTCGCCGTCTCGGCCCCTGCCCACGCGCCGAACTCCTCCTCCTCCTCCGCCGTGGTGATGGTGATGGATGGAGACGGGAGGGAGATGAAGACGAAGCGCAAGACGCAGGGCCTCGCGCAAGACGCCGCTACGGGCGTCTTCAGGAGCCAGGACGCCAACCTGCTGCTCAAGGTGGGCGACGCGACGAGGAGCGCCCTCGTGTCGCGCTCTCCCGAGATCAAGATCAGCATCCGCAAGCGCGGCGGGGACACCGGCGCGAACCCGTTCAGCATCGCCCAGCTCCTCACGCCCAACATCCCCGGCGGTGGCATCGACGATGGCCATCGACACCATCACCACCACCACCCGACTACCCACGTCGCCTCCAGCGCGGCGTCCGCCGCCAAGCCCACGCCGAGTTTCACCCTCCCGGCGATTTTCAAAATCGAGCCCGTGGACGTGGCGCCATCTCCGGCGAGGCTGGAGGAGAAGGTGAAAGGTCAGGCGCCCATCCACCACGTGCGTGACGTGCGCAAGCTGGTCAAGAGCTCCTACCCCGTGGGGTCGCGCGAGGACCACACCGACTCCAGGTCCACCACCTCGGACCACAGCTCCGGGGGGGCGACGGCGGCGGTGGCCGCGGAGGTCAGAGGTCATTCGCGAGGGTGCGATGTCGCGGCCACCAACGTCACCACCTCGTCCTCGTCGTCTTCACGCGGCCTCAAAGCTGTGGCGCCGCTCGTCATCAACTACAAGTCCATCACGCGGCAGGAGCGCGGTGACGACAGCAACGGGGACGCCGCGAAGGAGCGCGCCGCGGACGCGCGGTTCGGAGCCGTGACGACGACGACGGTGACGATGATGGGCGGCGCCCCTCTGGAGGGCCCCGGCGGGCGAGGAGGCGCGGAGGAGAAGGGCGCTCAGCAGCGCTTCGGTCTCAAGGTGGGAGCGGCCGACGAGCTGGCGGGCAGAGGCGGGCCCGCCAAGCCGTCGAGCCAGCTCGCCGTGGAGAAGCTGGAGGCGGCGGTGCGCTCCATGGAGGACCTCTACGTGTACGAGAACCACGAGTGGCGGCGGCGTCACGGGGCCGAGGCGCCGGTGCCCGAGAGCCACGTGCTGTCGCTCATCGCCTGCATGGAGAAGGGCGAGAAGGAGAAACAAGCGCACGCGGACGGGGCCGCGAGGGTCGTCCGAGTGCAGCAGCAGCAGCACCAGCAGCAGCACCAGCAGCAGCAGCATCAACAACAGCATCAACAACAGCACCAACAGCAGCAGCAGTGCGCGGCGCCGCTCGCCGCTGCCTCCGCGCCGCCTCCATCGCCCCGCCACGTGGCGCTCGGCCCCTCCGCGTGGTCGGCTCAAAAGGTCGCGCACAAATTGCCGCAGATCTTTGGCACGACGCAGACCGTGGCGGCCGCCGTCTCCAAGCGGCAGGAGCAGCAGCAGCAGCAGGGGATGGTGATACGGTCCGTGAGGCCCCCGTGTTCCGCACGTGCGGATGAAGCCGGTGCCACTGCGTTCGCCAAGCAGCAGCAGCAGGAGGAGCAGCAGCAGCAGCAGGAGGAGGAGCGGGAGAGGTCATCCAAGGCGGCTGCTGAAGTGGGCCACTACCTCACCATCCCCGTCAAGGCGAGCGCCCGAGACGGGAGTGGGGACCGCGTCTCAGGCAAGGAGCCGCAAGCTCTGCTCGATCTGCCTCCCACGGTGCCACCCAGGACTCACAGGGAGGCCAGCAGCCAGCAGCACGCGGCGCAAGTGGACGGCAAATCGCAGCAGCAGCAGCAGCATCAACAGCAGCAGCACAGACACACGCACAGAGCGGTGAATCTGGACGAAAGAGGAAAGCGTCCCGAGGTCGGCAGCGGAAGAACGAGCGCCGCGAGCATCTCGAACATCCACGGCTCGAGCAGCGCCACCGCGAGCAGCGGCCACTTCGCCAAAATCCACACGACGTCCGCTCAGCAAAAGTGTCCTCCATCCCCCCTGATCCTGCAACCCGTGCACCCGGCGCTCGCCTTCTCGGCGGCCTCCGAGCGTGACGAGAGGCGGCTCCCCCCGCCGCCGCCGCTGCTGCGCGCCATCGCCGGCTCCGTGAGCCCCGTGTCGCTGACGGCGTCGCGACGCCGTCTGCTCGTCGACCCCGAGTCGGGCCAGTGCTACGTCGTGGACGCGCCGCCGCCGCCCGCGCAGCCGCAGCGCAAGACGCTGCTGGACGTGGAGACGCAGCAGTACGTGGAGGTGTCCGTGAGCCCGCAGGCAGGCGGAGGAGCGGGAGGCACCACGGGCGGCGTCTACTCCGTGGCCATGCCGCCCGCGCAGTTTCTGTTCACGGCGACGACGCCCGGCGCCTTGGGGTCACACTTCGTGATGTTTCCCGGCGTCCTGTCCACGCACATCCAGGCCTTGCCCGCCGGCTATGAGTACCAACAGCAGTTGCAGCAGCAGTTGCAGTATCAGCAGTTGCAGTATCATCATCAGCAGCAGCGGCAGTACTTTCAGCACCAGGGATCGATCGGCCTCGTTGAGGAACCTCAGAGCTCGCAGGGAAAATGCTTCTTCCAGAGCGGCAAGGAGGAGTCTAGTCCAGCAGTGGATCGGCCCTACTTCCTGCCGTCGGGAAAGGTGCTCGGCCCGGGGAACCAGGGCGTCTTCGCAGTCCCGGGGGGGTCCGGGGGCGACCTGGAGCTGCTCAAGGGGCCGGCAGCGGTCTCCTTCTGCTCGGCCGCGCAGGCGCAAGGCCCTCGCATCGTGGCGCCGCCTTCATTCGACGGCACCACGATGAGCTTCGTGGTGGAGCACAGGTGAAGAAGAGGGGAGCGGCGGCGTCACGTGGTGAGCTGGCGCACGCACGCACGCACGCAGTCGAGAGGGGGGGGGTTGGGGGTCACCCACACGCAGCTACCACCGCCCCCTCCACGCTCACGCCCCCCGCTCGCGAGTCCGAGGGGTTCCGTGTCACCTTGTGCCGCACAGGGACAGCTGCCACTGGGGGTGCGCTTCAAATAATAATAATACGACTGTCATCAGATTGATCTAGAGTGCGATTCCCGCTCATAGCCCCACACCGGAAACTATTTTCTGAACCGGTCATGGGCCTCCCCTCGGTCGACTCAGCCTCGAATGAGTGCTTGGCGCGATGCCAGACGTCGCGAGTCGGGAGGCACAGGCGGCCGGGCGTGGTGTTTGTCCCACCGCTCGCTCGTGCCCCGCGCCGGCCTTCACGCCAGCTCGCTCGGAGCACTTGCACCGAACAGTCTGTTAATGGGATACGGGGGGGGGGGGGGGGGGCTTTGTCGACGCGTGTTAATGTGACGCGTTGAGTTCGCCGAGCCAGTTAAGCAAAGCTACGCAAAAAAGCGAACATTATTAGTATTACTCTTTGGTTCTTTCGGTAAAGTCACGTAGTTAGAAATAAAATAAAAATTAAACAAATCACGACGTTTCGATCGCAACACAAGCGGTCGTCCTCAATAATAATATTATTGTTGCTGCTGCTGCAGTAAATGGGTCAGCAATGTCAACGTTAGTAAGCTGCATGATTCCCTGTTGAGCCTCTGAGCTGCTGCTCGTGTAAGGTGAGACGGCGGCGACTCTGCGCCAGCCCCTTGGCCTGCAGCCCAGCCCGCGGCGAGCCCGGCTGGCGCGACATCCACCCCACGCGTCTCCCAATTAGCGCGGCAATTATCGGACTAAATGGGCGCAGGGTGGGTGGGATTATCTTGATATCCACCCTGCAGTGAAGCGGTGGCGCAGCGCTTAGCGCATTGCGCTGCGAACCCCGGCGAGGTTTCGTTTAGATTCCCAGCCAAGGCGAGCGTCAGTGGCGGGCAAGGTGGTGTCGTGGTGACATTCACGTCTCGCAACAGCGAGCACCCACGTTCGTTCCCCGATTCGCCTCTCTGCGTGCGGTTTGCAAGGTCTCCTGTTCCGCAGAACGCGACTGAGTCTGTGAGAGTGTAAGTGGGTGCGGTCGCGTCATCTTTGCCTTTCCTTCCCCTGCTCTGCAGAATGCGTGCGAGTGAAAGTTTTGAGTGCGTGTGCGTGTGTGGGTGCATCTAGCTTGAGTGGCGAGCGGCAGCTGCTGTTGTTGCTGCTGCTGCGCGTGTCTGTGTGGAGTTTGGTGCGTTCCCTCCCTCCCTGTTCTGCATTGGCTTCCCCCGGGTTACGGGCGCCACGGTGGCTTGGAGATGTTAACTACCTCGCCTGGTATGCAGGATGTCCTGGGTTCTATCCCGACCCTGACGCCTGCTGTATATTTGGAGTTTGCGTGTTCTCCTCGTGGTCGCGTGGATTTTTCTCTGGGTCCTCTGGTTTCTCCTTGCACATTTAGAAACATGCGTTTAGAGTATTGGCTACTATACATTTGCACGTGATAAGCCACTTTGTTGAGTTATCATAGCTCAGTGGGCCTTTACCTGGTAAACAAATAAAAATGAGTGCTCTAGTTTCCTCCAGTAGCCAAAAAACATGCAATGTACCGTCACTGGCATTGGCCAAACATCTCAATGTAGCAACAGAGTCTTCAGATTCAGCGAGTTTTTCCTGGGTAAATAAAATATTTGAATCGGTCCTGGGCGGCTCCCCCCCCCCCTCCCCCTTCAGTCAACCCGCACAGATGAGCGCGGTGAAGTATGGTCAAGGCGCCTCCGTGGCGTGCGGAGGCCTTCATCCAGCAGTGGATTGACAAGGGGATGTCAACCTTTCCCCCCCCCCCCGCTCTCCCTAAACTATTGCAGGCGGCATGGAAGAGACGTTTGAGGTCTTGGGGGGACGCGAGTTGCTCCGGAGAGGCTTTGGTAGGAATGGGACCACTGCGTAGAGTAGCCACGTGGCGTCTTACCCCGGAATGCCTCGCCGAGTCTCAAGATTATCTTTTGCCGGAAGGATGCTGCTCATAGAGCGAGACTAAGGGCACCGTGCGGATGCATTACTGTCGTGTGCTGACTGTGAGTTTTGGTATCCGCGCCGTGCTCACAGCACAAGGCGATCACGGAGGAAGGCGCCGTTGTTGTTTCAAACCGGGGTCCTACGCGGGCAGACCGATGCTCGCCTCCACGGGCCAAGGTGCTGAGTCACCTTGTGGCAAGCAGTGACCGTCTGCCGCGGGAGGTGCCCTTGCATTTGACGTAATTCGCTCGTGGCGCGTCGATCGCTCCGAGCCATCGCTGTCGTCCAGCCACTGCTGCTTGCTCCGTGTCCCCCGCTCGTGGCGCGCAGCTCACCCCGAGTCACGTGTCCGCCCCGTGCCCTCTGTCGCCCCGTGCAGGAGAGCCGGCGACCTCTGACCCCGGCCGGGGGCCGCCCTGCTGCTGGCGGCAGGGCCCACGGCCTCAACGACGCAGACGCGAAACGCCGTCGCGAAGGTCCGGATGGGATTCGCGTCCCTCTCCCTCGCCTAGGGGGGGGGGGGGGGGGGGGCTGGAATCCACGGCCCATGGGCCAGACGCGGTCCGCTACTTCTTTTCGTGAGGCCTACTGCTCCGAAACAACATTCATCGGTCACCGCAAGCCGCGCTGATCGGGCACTAGACGGGGACATTCGCGACCTGGCAACGAGCGCGCGTGACTCGCCACGAGTTCCGCTGCCGTCACTGCGAGGGCCTCCCGGGGCGGCGAGAAGCGACCGAGCCGCGCGCGACGCCAACGGGTCGCTCGCTCGCCACGGCCACCGCACGTGGAAGGTTCCCCACCATTGCCCCCCGCCTCCCTTAACACGGTACCCGGACGCTGGCGTGTCCCGTGACCCATGGCCAACATCGACATGGAGGCGTCATCGTGGCCATAGCCGCTGATGCCACCACCACCGCCGCCGCACCTCCTCGCTGCCGACTCGCTCTCCCTGCCTCTCCCCTTCCCCGGATCCCACAGCTGGAGCCACGCAGCCACCACCGCGATTCTGCCCCCGCGAGGGACGTAGGGGGAGGGGGCTGGGGGGCACAGAACGACAATGGAATGTTCTGCACCGCCCTCTCCGACCCACGATGCCTATCACACCTGTTATGCGCGGTGGTCGCCCTGCCAAGCCCTATCCAAAGCTTAGCCCCGCTTAGTCTCATTAACCCCCACACACACTTTGCGCAAGAGCGCAGAAGCGTGGCCACCACATCTACGCCTCTATTTAAGGAATGAAACACGCTGGCTGTCGCACGATGAAGCTGGTTGCAATTACTGGCGAAACGTCGTACTCAGATTGTAAATGTTGTGGCTTGGCTCTCCAACACACCGGTGTGCTGTACTAGTATATTACACTACACTACTATACACTACACTATACACTACTATACACTACACTATACACTACTATACACTACACTATACACTACACTATACATTACTATACACTACTATACACTACAGTATACACTACACGCTAGTGCTGTACTAGTGACGAATTAGCCACGTTCTGTTGACGTGACAACCCTTACTAGTTGGCTGTGTTGGGTGGTGGCGGGTTTAACGACACATTTATACATTTACGCAATCTAACCCAACAAAACCTCTATTGTGGATGCTATTGCTCGCGAAAGCCTCCTCCTACTCCCTGTTCAACTTAGTTCCCCAGGTCTGTTGGGATTGGGCGCGTGCTGGGTGATGCAGCTGCTTTGCGCGAGTCCACGCGGCGCGGACAGTCGCCTCGCGAGCCGAGTGAGTCAACTGGAGGCCCCGCCGAGGCGCCCTCGGCTCACGAGGCTCGCGACGCGCGCCACGAGCCGAGCCGAGCTGAGCGTGAGAGTCGATTGTCCGCGACGCGCGCCGGAACGAGACGACGATCACCCATCTGGCGTCGCAACTCAACATTTGCCACGTGGTAGTTTCATTTTTGTTAAATATTATAATTTGTTAACGTGACAAAAATGGGCGTCGTTCATTTTCAGAGCTCGAACGTCAACCAAATTGATGAACAAAACGAGGTCGTGGTGGTCGTGGTGGTTTTCTGTGCAGCAAACTGCTGCCAGAGCTGAGACCATCAACCTCGCTCGACTCGAGAATCCCCGTTTTTCATCGCCGTGGCTCCGACGGGGGTGCGAACCCAGGTGGCTTGGGTGTTGGGTGTTGGGGGCGGTGCCGGCTCGCAAGCCACGGGCCCTGGGAGCGGACGCGGAGTCGTCGCCGCTCCCTGGGGCCGAGCGGACCGCGTCTGGCGAGGAACGCTTCTCCCGAGGCGGCGCGCGGAGCGGTGGCGCGGACGACCCGTGCCGGGGCTGTGACACGCGCGCGCGCGCTGGTGTGTGTGTGTGTGGTGCTTTTGCCGTGGCTGCCATGGTAAGGGTGAGGATGATGCTTTCACGTGGGTTTTCTTTGCGATGTGATTTCCCCCCCCCCCCCCCTCGTTGTTGTGCGAGTTGACTGAAATTTCGCTGCGCGTAGATCCCCACCTCGCTGTGCCCTTGGAGACTCCATGGGGCGAGTGCTGTTAGCGAGCGCCTATTGATGGTGGCGGTGTGACCTGGACCACATCTTGCCAACTTCGTTGTTTCCACCCAGTGCTAAAGTTGCACACAAAGCACCGGGTGCCTATCTTAGGCTGAGCACGTTCAAATATAATGTGTTGCTTTTGGTTGGGAATTGAACTCAGTCGACCGGGATTGCTAAAGACTATGCCATTGTGCCACGCACACATACGCATACTCACAGACACAACAACCGCCATTCGCCACGAATTGGCGGTAACGTCACCACGGCGCTTGTGCCAGGCGAGATGCACAGTTAAGGCTACGTGAAGTGTCGAACGCTCGCTGGTAGGTCACGGGGCAGACCCAGGTGCCACGGGTCGACTGACAGACACACGCATTCACACACACACACAGCCTCGATGACTCACAATGACGCATGCAGAGACCAACACCGTAGCCAGATACCTTCGTCTGTCCACTGCTGTTGTTCACACACAGAGCACTGGGGACGCATTTAAGGCTAAGTCGATGAGGGGGAGGCCCAGGAACGATTGAGAAAGTCGACATTGATGTTGACCGTGGACGCCAATCGAACTTGGGCCACCGGGTCCGTAGCGCGGTGCGCTAACCACGAGGCCACCGCTCCTCGCACGTGCACCAAGGCTCGCCCTTACACACACGACGGGCACGATCACTGAACCCTCCAAAAATGTCCTCTCAGGCAAACACTTCAGAGCAAGTCGCCGTTGAGTACGTTTGGTGTTGGCGCTGTCGTTCTCACACACACAGCCAGCGGTAGTTTCGCAGTCGGGGGGGGGGGGGGCAGTGCCGGATTAAGCTAGTGCGGGGCCTGTAGCAAATGTCATAAAGGGGCCCTGAATAAGCTAAAATCTATAAATGTTAAACCACAAATGTTTAACTTGCAAAGTAATTGTATTTTTTCACTTGCTATACAGCCAGACAATACGACAAACCACTAACCTTAAACTCCCAGTCGTTCATAAAAGTTGAAGGCGGTATAGTACTATAGTAATAGAGCAAGTGCAGAATCACTGAACCTGGAATTGATAGCTTGAAAGCATTTAGCGCGGGGCCCTTTGAAAGTGCGGGGCCCGTAGCATATGTAGCTACTTGTGCTACTGGGATAATCCGGCACTGAGAGGAGGGGGGGCAGTGCTACTGTGCGTTTCCCAATCGAGCAATTCGCGGGCACATTTTTATAAATTTGGAAGGTTTGGACCGTGACGTCGGCACACGATTCGCCTACTCGTCATCGAATGACGTCAGGCGGATCTTTAACAAGCGCTGCGATGCAGATGGCCCGTTCGTTCGTTTTTTAAAATTTGAGGTTAATAAACCCGCGGCGTTAACCAGGACGGCCCGTCGGGGTCGAACCGCTCGGCTGCGTGGGTGCGCGGCTTGCGACGTGCGAGGGAGTTATTCTGAGCGCCGGGCAGCGGGACCGGCCAGCCACGGCGAGTGTCACACTCGGAGCGCCGTGACTACGAGTGAGCTCATACAGCAGCAGCAGCAGACATGCGGCATTCGCTTGACGCGAGTGGCACTTTAAATAAACAGCCGCGTGTGTCGTGGAACGAGCGCCCTAAATACTTGCCGGTTAAACAATGAAATAGCGCGGTGCCTCACTCAAGCCGATTGCGTACAGTGAGCCCTGCGGAGGCGAGCGTGTTGTTGTTGTTGTTTGTTGTGCACCGTGTGCCTGTGTTCGAGCACACCGCGCAAAGGGGTTGCGATTTGTCCACATTCGCCGGAGGTCGTAGGCTCGGACTGTGATTCCTCTACTAAAGCGAATGGGGGCCGCGTTACCGAACAGACGATATTGAGAGTGAATTGACGTCACGTTAACAAGTCTCTATGAAAGCGAATGGACGAGCGGATCTCTATGGAAGTAAAGTTCAATTACATTTTTTTTAGATCTGCATGAAGGTGATTGGACGTGGAAGAGTGGCAGTCACTTGGATTTACAGATCTCCATTTGTGAGTGAGTGAACTCGTCACCCCAGGTCTCTGTGAGAGCGATCATCGGTCACGTGAATCATCAGCACTCCCTGACAGCCGAGCGGTGACACGGCCCACGGGTAGCGTGTTCGCAGCTTGTGGCAGAAGTTCGTGGTTCGGACCGGCAGGCCGCCCTGGTTAACGCCGATGTTGTATTAACCCTCAAAATGCTACGCGCCGTCTGCTTTGTTGTGGATCTTCTAGATCCCGTGAAGTGACACCAACATGGATAAGCCGCTGCCCGCCGACGAGATTGACCAAAAAATACCCGCAAATAACTCGAGTGGGATTACGCACCGCGACCTCGACCCCGACTGTGACGCTACTGCCGGCTGTCCGTGAAACGCAGCAGCGCCCTGCTCCGTAGTGGCCCTGCGCGAAAGAAACAAATAAAGTTCATTTGCGAGAAGTCTGTCACGGCAACGGCATCTCCTCCAGCAGCATCGCTGAGCCAGGAGAGAGTCGTGGAGTCGCTGAGCCAGGAGAGAGTCGGGGAGTCGCTGAGCCAGCAGAGAGTCGTGGAGTCGCTGAGACAGGAGAGAGTCGTGGAGTCGCTGAGCCAGGAGAGAGTCGTGGAGTCGCTGAGCCAGGAGAGAGTCGGGGAGTCGCTGAGCCAGCAGAGAGTCGTGGAGTCGCTGAGCCAGGAGAGAGTCGTGGAGTCGCTGAGCCAGGAGAGAGTCGTGGAGTCGCTGAGCCAGGAGGGAGTCGTGGAGTCGCTGAGCCAGGAGAGAGTCGTGGAGTCGCTGAGCCAGGAGAGAGTCGGGGAGTCGCTGAGCCAGGAGAGAGTCGTGGAGTCGCTGAGCCAGGAGAGAGTCGTGGAGTCGCTGAGCCAGGAGAGAGTCGTGGAGTCGCTGAGCCAGGAGGGAGTCGGGGAGTCGCTGAGCCAGGAGAGAGTCGTGGAGTCGCTGAGCCAGGAGGGAGTCGGGGAGCCTCGCAGGAGGCTCTGGGATGGGGCAGCAGTGAGTGGCTTCCGCTGATGGTTCCATTAACCGACGTTCGCTCTTATCGAGACTCGGGGTGACGACGACGAGTTCACTCACTCGCAGTGGGGACCTGGGAATCCAAGTGACCGTCAACCTTCATTCGCTTTCAGAGAAACCTGTGAGCTCAAGCGCCACCTGGCGACGTTCAGAGATCGGTTGAAGCGACCTCCATGCGTTTGGTCATCACTCGGGGTTTTGGTAAAAGCTTTCACGATCGGTTATCCGTGACAAATGTCAGACGCTGGCAACCGGTCACAGAGCAAAGCGTGTCACTGATGGGCCGCATTGGCACAAACCGCACGGCGGCCTACGTCACCGCGTGGTTCATTTGCTCTCGATTCTCAGTTACCCAGGCGAATTGCGCGGCCCTGCAATCGCTCGCTCACGCCGCTGCTGGCGGAAGGCGCCTCCACTATCGGTCGCTCTCGAGGCTCCTGGCCTCTTCTTCCACGCTGGAGGCGCTGGGCTCACTCGCACATTTTGCTTTCCTGTCGACCGGCCCAGGGTCGCTCGCAACCAACCCACACCGCGGCAGCTGCCCTTCACGTCGCAGTCAACGCGTTCATTGCTCCGAAACATTTTATTTTACGTGCGGCGAACCGATAACCGGCTCGCACCGGTTTTTCACTGCGGTGACCAGTAATGCAAAACGACCGTGTTCCAACGACCCCAGCCCGTTAGTTATCGCAAAGGTCAAACGCAGGACGAGGATGGGGGTCACGGCGCCACGTGTGGTCTGAACCCATGCTGCCCTTGGTGTCCGTGGCGCCGAGCTGAGCGGTGAGGAGAGAGGAGCGGTGGGTGAGGAAGGTGGGTGAGGAATGTGGGTGAGGAATGTGGCAGGTGGTGGGGGCATGTGTAGGACGGGGCCCCGACTCGTGACGGGCAGGGTGAGTCAGAGGGTGAGTGAGAGGGGGAGTCAGAGGGTGAGTGAGAGGGGGAGTGGCCGACAACCGAGAATGGAAGCGCCGGGGAACTTTGGGGGGGAGAGGGAGGGGGGGTCCTTTGAGTTGATGTGCGGTCACCTTGTGAGAGAGTGAGTGGGTGTGTGTGAGAGTGCGTGAGTGTGTGAGAGTGGGTGAGTGAGTGTACCTGTGTGTGAGTGGGTGAGTGTGTGGGGAGCGGTGGTGTAGCGGTTAGCGTGCTGCGATACAAACCCGGCGAGCCGAGTTCGATTCCCGCTCACGGCCAACACCAGTGACGATTATCTGAACCGGTCCCGGGCCTCCCCTAGGTCGACTCAGCCTAAAATGAGTACCTGGTGCGGTGTATAAACATCGCCACCAGGGAGACAAAGGCGGTCGGGCGTGGTGCTGGCCACCCATCCCCTTGTGTATTGTTCCGGCCTTCATAGGTGCTCGCTAACAGCACTTGTCCCTATAGTCTGTTAAGGCTATATGGGGGATCTTTGTCTTGTCTTGTGTGTGAGTGGGCGAGTGCGTGTGAGAATGTGTGAGTGGCGTGAGAATGGGTGGCTGAGTGTGTGGAGCGTGTGAGACTGAGTGGGTGAGTGAGTGAGCGAGTGTGAGAATGAGTGGGTGGGTGAGTGAGTGTGAGACTGAGTGGGTGAGTGAGTGAGCGAGTGTGAGAATGAGTGGGTGAGTCTGCGTGTACTCGTGAAACACCCAAACACAGAGCCATTGTGACCGTCACTGCTCGCCCATTGTACTGTGGATTGTCGCGCGTGACGCCGACTAGTGGGATCGGCTCGTCAGCCAAACCAAACTACCAACAATCGTTGTGGAACATGTATCAATAGCGATCGATGGCCACACAATGCCTGCGCATAGCCGTCACTGCACGTGGCAACACATTTGTGTGTTTACGCATCCCAAGAGCCTCGCGACCCGTGCTCAGCCAATGCCGCCTCGCGTACTCGCGGAAGCAGCGCCGCGGGGACTGATGGTGGGACGTCGTCACGACACCGAACTTTGTGTGTTTGTTCATCTTTCTTCTTTGATGCGGAGGGGCGCTCGGGTGCAGTGAGTCGTCGTGCACAATGTCGCGGGCCGCCGTGTAACCCCCACGGACGGATCTCACTGCCAGGGTGCCAGGGTGCTCGTGACGAGCGCTTTGCCGGAGGACGCTATCACCACCGTGATAGTCGCCTGGTGTTTGGGGGAGAGGAGGGGGGGAGGGCTTCTCTGTTCGTGGGATCCGGCGGCTTGCAGCGGATGCGTCGACTCGCGAGTCGAGCTGCTGCTGCTCTTCCTCTGGAGGCGCACGCGCGTCCCGACCTCGCCACGTGGCCGAGCTGCGGGGTGTGCAGGCGGTGCAGCTGCACGGGGGGTGGGGGTCACGGGCCGGTGCTGCTGGGGGGATGGTGGGGGGGGGGGTCAGGCAACGAGGCTACGAAGTGGGGGGCGGGGATGGGGAATTGGAGTCCGCCTCGGAGCGCCGCTGGGTGACGTCACCGGAGTGCTCCTAAGAGTCGCGGTGACGTCACCAGAGTGCTCTTGATGATGGTGACGATGTGTCGTCATGGTGATAGTGACGATGTGTCGTGATGGTGTTAGTGACGATGTGTCGTCATGGTGACGGTGACGATGTGTCGTCATGGTGATGGTGACGATGTGTCGTGATGGTGACGATGTGTCGTCATGGTGATAGTGAGGATGTGTCGTCATGGTGACGACGTTGTGAGTGTGTTCAAGGTTTTGCTAATTATTTAATTAAACGCACGTGCGTGCATCCACGTGGCCGTGTCTTGCAACCGTCCGTGGGTCACAACGGGTGACGTCCAATCCCAAGTGTCTCTCTCTCTCCTTGTCCAAACACTCGCGCTCGCTCAACAGCAGTCGCATTGCGACTCGCAGACGGCAGTGAGGCGGTGGTCGCCTCGACCCGAGGTCCATCCATTGGCACGCGCGCCGCCCACTCCCCAGCTCAGACCACATCCTCTCGACGCGGAGTTGCGTTAGGACGGGGATTGGTGCCATCGCTCCACCACGCACACTGTGAAGTCACAGGCTGAGGGATGGAACGTGTATCGTTCCGTCACGCTCTAGATACACAACCGTTGCACGAACGTTCAAAGAAAGACGCCTTTAACTTTTGCTGTCGACATGGCCGAGCAGTAGCGCATTCGCCGAATGTTGCAGAAATTCACGGTTCGAATCGAGCGGCCGCCCCGATTCATTCACGCGCGCCACCGTCTGGCGATCACGTGACGTCTCTCGCAAGAGCAGCATCGCGGGCCAAATTTGACAAACGTGAAAAAGATTTACCAGATTACTCAATTGTGTTTACACGTAGCTTTGGGGCCGTCCATAAATGACGTCACGAACCTGGGGGGGGGGGGGGGGTCAGACATTTGTGACGATGTGTGACGAGGGGGGGGGGGGTTGAGAAATGTGACGTCACATCAAAATGCGCAACTTTAAATAAATATAGATAACACGTTCTACTTAATTAAATAGACTTGTTAATACATGTTTCTCCTACAACATCAGAGTGCAGCGCCACATTAAATACGCACTACAATGACAATAGTTTAAAGCGACTTGAAGCATTTTTTATTTTATAAATGGAAATATGTTTTTGGGGGGGTGCGGCAGAGCTTTGTGACGTCATATTTGAGGGGGGGGTCTGACTTTTTATGACGCCGTGTGACGAGGGGGGGGGTCAAAAATCGTCCAAACTCGCGTGACGTCATTTATGGACGGCCCCTTTGTACACAACCCTAACCACTGGCACCTCGTGGGATTTGCTTTCAGACAGGCACCGCATTCCCTCCCAGGTGCAATGCTGCGAGGCGACCACAGGGCGGCAGCACACTGCCGTGGTGGCGGTGGTGATGATGGTGATGGGGCAGTGCAGCGGTTAGCGCGCTGCGGTACGAACCTGGCGACACGAGTTCGATTCCCGTTCGCGGCTAACATCAGTGAGGATTATCTGAACCGGCCCTGGGCCTCCCCTAGGTCGACTCAGCCTCAAATGAGTACCTGGTGCGGTGGGTAAACACATCGCCACTGGGGAGACAAAGGCGGATGAAGAATTACCCGCAAAATGACTCAATTGGGATCACACAGCAGCAGCAGAAACATCATCGCGGCCACCTGTGAAAGCTTGTCAGGACCCTCCTGGACGAGTCTTGAGACTCTGGGGTGATTCTGCGCACACAAGGATCACACGCAGGAAGACCACGTCGAACCAGACGATAGAGTAGACTCGTGTGTGTGTGTATAGTCACCCTCAGAGACACACACACGCGCGCTCATAGATATTACACTCATAGAGACACGACACGAAGTGGCGGTGACGTCACCCCGGCGCTTGTGCCAGGCTAGGTGCACTTTGAGGCCACGTGAAGTGTCGAAGGCCCGCTGGCAGGAGGTCACGGAACAGACCCAGGTGCCGTGGGTTGACTGACTGAGATGACTGGCTGATGCACCACCTGTGCTCTCCGCTGTGCCGCCCGGCGCTCCGCTCGCTGTTGTGAGGATCGCTCATCCGCCCTCCGTTGTTGCTGGAGGGCGACTGCCTCCAACTGCCCGGCAGCGTCCTTCACGAACCTCCTCCACAGAGGCCGATCTTGACACCGCTGGTACCGCTCATTGGCAAGTCCACTCAGCTGCACATTCTTCAGTACGACGTCGGCGCATCTCTTCTGCAGCCCGTGCTGCGCTCGTTTAGCCCCCTCGATCCGGCGAAACAGAAGCTGCGTGGGCATGCGGTGGCTGGGCATGAAGTGGCTGGGCACGCGGTGGCTGGGCATGCGGGCTACATGACCCAGCCAACGCAGCCTCCCTTGCCGGAGGAGCTCACCGATGGGACCGTGCCAAAATCTGTCACCGCCCGCAGGGCTCGCCATGCCGTTGTCGATCACGGTGAGTTGTTTGACTTAACTTCTCCATGGCTGACCAGTGCAGGCTTAAGAATGCGGGTAGCAGCATCGTTCGTGGCGCAGCGTACTGACCACTGCACCTCCCGGCACGGTAACTACCACTGTACTGCTAACATTAAAACCGCAGTCGCCATCGTGGCTCGGCTGTTGTGAAATATTACAGCACTGGGTGAACACTGTGCTTGTAAAACGAGTCCCATTCACTTGTATAACGCCGCATTACGCAAGGCGGCAATGGGGCGAGAGTTATCTAACCACGCGGCCGGAGCAGCAGCGGTGAATTCGCGTGGCCTTGACTCAGGGGCTCTGTCACCACCACCACCGTGCCAATCGGAGGTGCGGATCATCATCCTGCTGCTGTTGCTGCTGCTGATAATGACATTAATCTAATCATCAATGTCTCACCGAGTCTCAAGAATAGTTTTCAAGAGGGTCTTTCTGCGTTGGGCTGTGTGACGGACAGTGTTCATGGGAGTTTGGCTTAGTGAATGAGGAAATTGGAGATGCCAGCACCGTGCTCGATAACAGGGGGGGAGGGGGACACTCGGCAATGACATCTCCTGGCCGTCCCGCGCCTGCGACACCCGGCAAGCCCTGGAGGCCGTCAATCCCAACACCGCGTGATCGAGCAGGCCAAGTCCCGACTGAGCGTGCGACGTCTGGCCACGTCTGGCGCGGTCTGGCACAGACCGCATGGACGCTGGTGCAGGGCGTGAAGAGGGCCCCCCTCCTGTCCAATGCCCCCCAGACCCCTGCCCCCCCCCCCCTTCCAACCTGTGGGCTCGGGTGGAGTTGCGCAGTTTGATTAACCCACGAATCCGATAACATGAAAATGAAAGTAGTTGAAACGTAACTCTTTAACTTTTTTGTTTTGTTTACCAGGCAAGGCCCACTGAGCTATACAGCTCTTTTCCAGATGCGAGCTGGCTATCACAAATGCTAGCTCAACTTATAGCAGCCATGTACTGTACTCTGAACGCATGTGTCTCAATGTGGAGGGGAAAACCGAAGGACCCAAAAGAAAAATCTCTGCGACCACGAGGAGAACACGCGCACTCCAAAAAGACAACAGGCGTCATGATTGGGATCGAACCCCCCACGACCTCCTGTACATCAGGCGAGGCAGAAAACATCTCGCCATCGGGACAACCCCAAAACCTTTTGTTTACACGCGTGCCACTGGACGGAAGGTGGTGAGCGGGGCTTGGCCACGTGATCGTCGTCGGCTTGCAGTGACACCCTCACTCCGGCACGGCTAGAACACACCCTGCCTGGTGCACACCCTGCCTGATCTACACCCTGCCTGGTGTATTTCAGCCGGACACGCCGGTGATGCAGCACCGTGCTGCGTCACAGGGTCGATGGGTTACCCCACAAACGTTGCGAAACTCCCTCCCCGTGGCCCCGTGGTCACCGAGGAGGCGACACACTCTGGGCCCGCCAGGAGACGGCGGCGGAAGCCAAGCATGGGGACTCCACCTGCCCCGTCTGATTACGGGGTAAGAGGATTTAACACGAGCGCGCGTGGTTTTTCTCTGGGTTTTCCTGCCATAACACTTTGGTATATATAGGACTGCAGAGCTTGGGAAACTGTTTACTGTGCGGCTGCTACTGCCTTACCGCTCGTCTTGCGGCTCCTCTCGTCGCCTCTGAGTGGCTCTCTCTCGATGGGTGTGAGTCGAACCCTGATGCTCCTGGCCTGTCCAACTGTTAATGTTGTGCAACAGTGGATTTACTGCAGTGACGTGCGGTGAGGTCAATGGCAGGAGAGGCGCTGACTCGTGTCAGAGCCAGATTCACACACTGAGGGGGGCGTGTCCTCACTGAGGGGCCGTGTCCTCACTGAGGGGGGCGTGTTAGACACGTCCCCCTCAGTGAGGCAGATGTGATAGCTGCCTCCCCTGGTGCTTGTTAATTGCAGTTTCATGAAGAGACAAGCGAGCCTAAATATCTTTATACACATACGTGAAATAAGTTACCTGTAGCATGGAAGGCGAGGACATGAAATGAAGGGGTCTACAAACATTACATTGGTGACATACTGAGATAGTAACAGGCACGCGCTTATTGCCCGAGCTCCATCCAGTTACTGAGGGGTTGCGCAATCAGAGGGGAGGCTGAGCTCGTCGCTGCCTCACCTCTTGTCTCTTCCTGTATTTGCAGCGGAGCTCCGCAAATTTGGTGATTTTGACTATAAAAAATGATTGGAATCGTACAGAAATGACATAACACCGATCAGTGGAAAAATCTTAATATTTATTTTCTTTTATTCTTTTTTTTTTTGCGTTTCGTAACAGCTATTTTAATTGGAGTATGTCAGGTGAGGCTCTGTCTCCCCTGACCGCACGTCCCTGATATACTGCATTTTAAAAAAGAACCACACACACGAAGCTGGTTTGGGCAGCACTCGTGTGGCTAGGAGGGGGATGAGTGCCGGTGAGCGAGAATAGCAAAGTTGCTGGGAGCCAAACGCCCCCAAAATGATCCCCCCACCCCCCACCCCCAGCGCAGAGGGAGCGCTGAAATAATCTCGTGAGCAGATGCCGGTGGGATTTGGTGCGCGGTCGTTGAGGCCATCGGGAACCCTCGTCTAGCAATGGATTGACCATGGCTGGTGATGACGACGGCCACGATAATGATGATGTGAATAAGCTGTGCACTTTGAAACTGCAAAGGAGATGTGCCTTTCTGCGACGTTGGCAACAGCGCCACCCATCTACGACTTGCCACGGTGGGTCGTACTGCAATCGCAAAGGATGATTCATCATAATAATAATACATTAATAGTACTAATCGTGACACAGCACTAACACAGTCTGCGTCACCATGTCGATGACTCGGCTGCTTTGTCTTGGGGTGGGTGGAGAAAGTGTGCGGCGCGCGTGACTTACCCTGAGCGGTGATTGCCAAATAGATTTTTTTTTTAATTCTTCCAAATCCAAGCTCAGCGCTGAGACTCCACTGCGTGAGTTGGTTTCTGCCCGTCGGATGCTATTTTGAGTGGTGAATTCTTGGCGCGTTGTGTAACGCTGCGTGGATATGGGGTCCACATCTAACAAGGGAGGGAGGGAGGGGAGGGAGGGAGGGGAGGGCCCCCTTTGTGGGCGACTATCCGCCAGCATTGATTGAAGAGCAAGCCTGAGCCGGCTCGCGTCGAGACGCGTGCGTGTCGAAACCGGTTCAGAGTATTGATTGATTGCGTTTAAATCAGTGACGATGCTACTATGCACTGCCATGAGGCCGTGCGGCCGAGGAGCTGTGTTAGGAACATGCCTTTAGACGATTTAGATGATTCTGCTGCTATAAATGCCCACGCGAGAAGCCTGTTTTGTCGAGCTGTCGTTTGTGGTCAGGTAGATTTAGAAAGATAAGTCCGTGCATCAGTGGGCTCTGTCTGATAGGATCGGGACGGTGTAGTCTTATTGAACGTGTTTGGGTGATTTATACTGACACGTCTTGTACTTTTCACTCCTCTCGTGGGTTTTGTGTCTGTTGTTTGTTGTTGGAACGTTCTTGCCCGCCCCGACTGGACATCCTGTGAAAAAACGAGCTTTGCAGCTCATCGGATTCCTCCAGTCTAAATAAATATTTCTGATTCAGATGATGTATTTTTATTGTTTCTAAAGGAATGCTCGTACAGGCGGATCGCGTGTGACACGCACAGCGGGTGGCTGCACAATTGTGTTCCGAGACGAGGTCACGTGGGGCCCATTGCGCAACGATGACGTAACCGAATTCACTGGCAGCCCCCCCCCCATGCGTGGTATGAAATGTAACCGCACGGGCGACTGCGCTTATATGGACTATGAATTTGCAAGCGGAAATATTCAGTGGTGAGTCACTAGTTGAGGGGGGGTCACGTGAAAGCGTGGGAGTCGATACCGATTCCGCTGAGGTAGGTATCGATTTCTGGAATCGATCCGCGAATTCCGAATACTGCAATGGAATTTTAACCGAAATCGTCTCAGCGGGATCAGTCGCTAGAAGGATGCTCTAATAGCCGTGTAAACGCGTGGATGTAACGGGGCAATTTGTGTCGTCGTTGTTGCGCGACAGAATCGTTTGTTGGCATCGAGATTCGAATCGACGGTTCAACAACTCTCGATCCAGTTGATGCCCACCGGCCTCCTAACCACCACGCCTCATGGCAGGTGGAGGCGGGGGGAGGGCGGGGCTTGCGGGGTGGGCGGGGTCTCGTGGGAGTGGGCGGGGCCAAGGAGGAAGTAGGCGGGGTCTCGTGGGAGTGGGCGGGGCCAAGGAGGAAGTAGGCGGGGTCTCGTGGGAGTGGGCGGGGTCTCGTGGTAGTGGGCGGGGTCTCGTGGGAGTGGGCGGGGCCAAGGAGGAAGTAGGCGGGGTCTCGTGGTAGTGGGCGGGGCCAAGGCGGAAGTAGGCGGGGTCTCGTGGGAGTGGGCGGGGTCTCGTGGTAGTGGGCGGGGCCAAGGAGGAAGTAGGTGGGGTCTCGTGCTAGTGGGCGGGGCCAAGGAGGAAGTAGGCGGGGTCTCGTGGGAGTGGGCAGGGTCAAGGAGGAAGTAGGCGGGGTCTCGTGCTAGTGGGCGGGGCCAAGGAGGAAGTAGGCGGGGTCTCGTGGGAGTGGGCGGGGCCAAGGAGGAAGTAGGCGGGGTCTCGTGCTAGTGGACGGGGCCAAGGAGGAAGTAGGCGGGGTCTCGTGCTAGTGGGCGGGGCCAAGGAGGAAGTAGGCGGGGTCTTGTGCTAGTGGGCGGGGCCAAGGAGGAAGTAGGCGGGGTCTCGTGGTAGTGGGCGGGGCCAAGGCGGAAGTAGGCGGGGTCTCGTGGGAGTGGGCGGGGTCTCGTGGTAGTGGGCGGGGCCAAGGAGGAAGTAGGTGGGGTCTCGTGCTAGTGGGCGGGGCCAAGGAGGAAGTAGGCGGGGTCTCGTGGGAGTGGGCAGGGTCAAGGAGGAAGTAGGCGGGGTCTCGTGCTAGTGGGCGGGGCCAAGGAGGAAGTAGGCGGGGTCTCGTGGGAGTGGGCGGGGCCAAGGAGGAAGTAGGCGGGGTCTCGTGCTAGTGGACGGGGCCAAGGAGGAAGTAGGCGGGGTCTCGTGCTAGTGGGCGGGGCCAAGGAGGAAGTAGGCGGGGTCTTGTGCTAGTGGGCGGGGCCAAGGAGGAAGTAGGCGGGGTCTCGTGGTAGTGGGCGGGGCCAAGGAGGAAGTAGGCGGGGTCTCGTGATAGTGGGCGGGGCCAAGGAGGAAGTAGGGGGGGTCTCGTGCTAGTGGGCGGGGCCAAGGAGGAAGTAGGCGGGGCCAAGGAGGAAGTGGGCGGGGCCAAGGAGGAAGTAGGCGGGACCAAGGAGGAAGTGGGCGGGGCCAAGGAGGAAGTAGGCGGGGTCTCGTGCTAGTGGGCGGGGTTAATTGGGGGAGTGGGAGGGGTTAAGGAGAGGTGTGGACCAATGTAAATGAAGGCGACTGTTATTAATAATACTTATATCTATCGAGAGCTTTTCATCAAGTATCTCAAAGCGCTGTACAGGACACAGCAGCAGACACAACGCATACAAATAATATAAATACATTTTAAGAATATGTTTTTGTCTTGCATATAAGTGAATGTACGTTGAACTTCTTTCGCACCGTACGTAGCCCACCGTGCTATTCGGAGGTGTGAATTGGTCCTGGTGTCATCTGGGACCGTATTTGTTGTTTTGCTGCCTTGCCCCAAGCTTGCGTTTAGCATTTTAAAGAAATCGCCAACAATGTATGTTGTCATTTACGAAAGTTCGCGTTCACGCAATTGACGAAATTATGTAAGATTATTCAATTTTCTCGATTCACGAAATAAAATGTGCGTGTTAACGAAAATGTTCACACGGCACAGCATGAGATCGAACAGCACACCTGTCAACCCCTTAACAGTGACCTACTTTAGTACACACCAATTCAGACCTGATTGGTCATCCCGTGCTCTTATAAATCTCAGCGTTCATCCTTCAAAGTCCCATCACAAGGGAGAAACACAAACAAATAGACACTTCTATTGCCCGCATTGAAACGGCTGTACGCCGCCGTATGCGCCTGACAACTCAATTTCCCCCGCACAAGAAGAATACGGAGCAAATAAACCGTATGGTTGACAGCTGTGGAGCAGGGAGCAGCCGAGAGGCTGCGTCATCCACCCGCGTCTGTGTCACGGTGACCTGCAGCAGGCAACAGCCACGGCTCCACATCTGCCTGTTGCGGTGAACCTGCAGCAGGCAACAGCCACGGCTCCACATCTGCCTGTCGCGGTGAACCTGCAGCAGGCAAGAGCCACGGCTCCACATCTGCCTGTCACGGTGAACCTGCAGCAGGCAAGAGCCACGGCTCCACATCTGCCTGTCGCGGTGAACCTGCAGCAGGCAACAGCCACGGCTCCACATCTGCCTGTCACGGTGAACCTGCAGCAGGCAACAGCCACGGCTCCACATCTGCCTGTTGCGTTCAGTTTGTTGTCCTTCCCACGCACCTCCGACTAGCACGGTGGGCTACGTACGGTGCGAAAGAAGTCCAA